AAATATATACAGTCTTGTGAGTCTATAATATAAACTCTGCCGATATCCAGACAAGAAGCTCTGGAGGTGTCCCCTGGGCAACAGCTGCAAAAATTGTGGCTTTAGGTTTTAAGTTCCTGCCTGAGTGGTATCAGCCAGCTGTGGGGAGGAAAAGGGAGGGCACTAACATGGTGTCTCCCTGTCTGTATTCCCTGGGGGGTTCATCCGTAGCCCCTGGATGTGTGGCAAACCTGAAGCTTGCCCCTCATTCTGAAGCTTCAGGACAAGAAAATAAAACTTTTTCACATGAAGACTAGGCATTTGTTTCAGTCTGCTGTTTGTGCAGTGCCCTGTGGGTGGTAGCCTGCCAAAGACTCTCTCTCCAATTGATTTGGACTTGTGGGGCCCAGAAATGCATTTCCCCTGGCCAAGAGAGCCAGGTGCTCAAGGGGTGTCCTTTGTATGGGCTGCATGTGCTTGCTGGCTGTGGCTTGGTGGGCCATGATTGTGGCACATGGGGGTGGGGCACTTGGCCAGCCCAGCTGCAGTGGGGTAGGCTGCACCTGCAGTGCATGGGGGGCAGGTGGCAGTCCTACCGGAGCTAGCATGCTAGAGGTAGGGTGTGAAAAAATCACCTGCTAGTATCAACACCAACAAAGCAGGAGAATTCAAAAATGACACCGACTGGTGCCTCCGTCCTTGGAGAGCATTCAAACAGGTTTCTTTTTCTCCAGCAGGTGCTTTAAGATGAATACGTGAGACTCCTCCACATTTGGTCCAGGCGCCTTTCAGAGTGTTGCTTTGGTGCTGGGTCCCAGGGCAAGCAGGTCTGTGTGCAGGCCCTTTTAAGAGTGAATTTTCCATTTCCTATCATTCTCCTTGAAGTAAACCCTGTTGGTTTTCAAGACCAGACACTTCGGGGTCTCATCTCTCTGGTGCAATTCCCAAGGGTTGGGAGGCCTGAAAGGAGGCACAAACCCCTGACTCCTTAGGGACGAGCTCCAGATTATAAGACCCCCTCCCAACTGTGGGTCACTCTTCCTGAATGTGGGGGTTTCTTGCTAGACTGTGTCTCCACCTCTCCTACCTATATCAGTGTGGCTCTTTTATCCTTTGTCATAGAGGCCCCGATCAGCTAGCTTTCAGGTCCTTTCCAGAGGGAATTGTTCCTTGTGTAGCTGCAGAGTTGTTGTGTTCATGGGAGAAGGTGAGTTTAAGATCCTTCTATACCACATCTTGAACCCTCCTATGGCCAACTGATCTTTGAGAGAGATGCAAGAGCATTTCAATGGAGGAAGGGTAGTCTTTTAAACAAATGATGTTGGAACAACTGGATATCCATATGTACTATATGAACCTTGATCAAAAGCTCACATCTTACTAAAAAAAATAACGCAAAATGGATCACAGACATAAATGTAAAATACAAACTGTGAAACTTTTAGTAAAAAACATAGAAGAAAACCTTCATGACCTTAAGTGAGGTAAAAAGTTCTTAGATTTTTACATCAAAAGCACAATCTGTAAAGGGGAAAAATAATAAATTTGAATTCATCAAAATTAAAAGCTTTTGCTCTAAGAGAGACCCTGTTAAGAGAACAATATAAAAAAATAAACACAGACTGGGAGAAAATGTCTGCAAATCGCATATCCAACAAAGAACTTGTATCCAGAATGTATAAAGACCTCTTAAATCTCACCAGTAAAAACAAAACAAAACAAAAAGACCCAATTGAAAAATGGACCAAAGTGAAATAAAGATGTCCTCACCAAAGAGGGTATACAGAAGGCAGATAAGCACATGGAAAGCTGTTAAGCATCATTAGATATTTGGGAAATGCAAATTAAAATTATGATGAGATACCACACTACACATCCATTAGAATGGCTTGGCCATCTTCAGTACAAACTAAATTAAGAGCCTGCCTTATGTGAACGTCTTCCTTGATAATTTACACTAAGACTTCTCACTTGAACACAGACAAGATTTTGGAAGACTCTCCTGGTGTCAGGGCATGATATCTAAGGGAAGGTCACATATCCATATGCACAAATGGCTGTTCTTCATCATTCTTGCCTCAGATACCTTTGCTTTCTGTCACAAAACTCCTTGTTCCTTGAGCTTTAGCTCTTCCATGTTTGGCCTCCGTTTCTCTTATCTCTTTAAATCGCACTTCCATCATTGTGACACCAGTGACACTTTCCAGAGGGAAACACTCAAACAGGCTGCGTTTGGCGGACTTGTCCTCAAAGGACATTTATGGTCTCCTGAGGTGCCACACCTGCAGTTCAAAATAGATTCCACAAGGGGGATAGTGTTTATGGAAGTATAGCCCTTGGTTAGATTACCATTAGGACTTGTGAATAACGGAAAGAGATCAGATATAAGGCACACAATCCATCTATGATTTTTAAATAGCATCACATTTAAACAGCACAAATGCTGCCTAAACACTAATCATTTAAGTTTACCTATTACTGAAAAGAGAAAACATTTCTTTATCTTTCAGTCAGTCTATAGATATTTGCTAAACACCTACTGCGTGCAAGGCACGGTCCTAAATACTGAGGATACAAACTAAATTTATTTGACGCAAGATATAAAAGAAATGATACACTTGCGCTACCTTTAATTAATAATGATTCTTGCTGAGTTTTCTTCTGAAGCTTACCTGGCAAATTACTCTCATCTTCTATGAGGGTCAGAGGTAGCAGGACATTTATCCATGGAAAAGCTTCCTGTCAAATTCCTCCCACCCCTATTTCTTACTTAATTAGCATATGCTTCTAACAACCACCTCATCCAGCTCTTGCAAAGAGAATTCAGCCCTATCACTAAGGTTTCTTCTACTCCATAACATGACTTTTTTTTAAAAGGCCCACTCCATCTTTTTCGTTATTTTTTTTTTCCTGTTATTTTCATCTATGTCCAAAATGCAAGAGGCAAACCCACTGCTAAGTAACTCTTGAGTTTCTTTCCCTTCTCTGGAAATTATATCTACCATGGTGTGGTTACCTGGCCAAAGAAGTCATTCCCTTAACTGGGTCTTTTTTTCTTTCACAGTATGTGTACTTAGCCCCTCTTTCTCATGAATGCAGATTTGATTTTATTTTTTTAAGACTTTATTTATTTGACAGAGAGAGAGAGACAGCAAGAGAGGGAACACAAGCAGGGGGAGTGGGAGAGGGAGAAGCAGGCTTCCCATGGAGCAGGGAGCCCAATGTGGGGCTCGATCCCTGGACCCTGGGATTATGACCTGAGCAGAAGGCAGACGCTTAATGACTGAGCCACCCAGGCACCCTATGAATGCAGATTTTAAAATGGAATTTAATTCCCACTGCTTGTGAGTTGTGTCATGTTTATATTTCAAAGCCTACTGTGGCCCTTTGCTAACAGAGATAATATTCCCCCTTCTGGGTTTTGAATGTGACAAAACTGAACATAGTAAAGCACTTTCTTTTTTCTTTTCTTTTTTTTTTTTTTTTGAGCAGTCCGACTTGGTAGCCATCATTTTTATTCTTTTTTTTTCTTTTTTTTATTGTTATGTTAATCCCCATACATTACATCATTAGTTTTAAATGTAGTGTTCCATGATTCATTGTTTGTGCATAACACCCAGTGCTCCATGCAGAACGTGCCCTCCTCAATACCCATCACCAGGCTAACCCATCCTCCCACCCCCCTCCCCTCTACAACCCTCAGTTTGTTTTTCAGAGTCCATCATCTGTCATAGTTCGTCTACCCCTCCAATTTCCCCCCCTTCATTCTTCCCCTCCTGCTATCTTCTTCTTCTTCTTTTTTTTTTCTTAACATATATTGCATTATTTGTTTCAGAGGTACAGATCTGAGATTCAACAGTCTTGCACAATTCACAGCGCTTACCAGAGCACATACCCTCCCCAGTGTCTATCACCCAGTCACCCCCTCCCTCCCACCCCACCCCCCACTCCAGCAACCCTCAGTTTGTTTCCTGAGATTAAGAATTCCTCATATCAGTGAGATCATATGATACATGTCTTTCTCTGTTTGATTTATTTCGCTCAGCATAATACCCTCCAGTTCCATCCACGTCGTTGCAAATGGCAAGATCTCATTCCTTTTGATGGTTGCATAATATTCCATTGTATATATATACCACATCTTCTTTATCCATTCATCTGTCGATGGACATCTTGGCTCTTTCCACAGTTTGGCTATTGTGGACATTGCTGCTATAAACATCGGGGTGCGTGTACCCTTTTGGATCCCTACTTTTGTATCTTTGGGGTAAATACCCAGTAGTGCAATTGCTGGATCATATGGTAGCTCTATTTTCAACTTTTTGAGGAAGCTCCATACTGTTTTCCAGAGTGGCTGCACCAGCTTGCATTCCCACCAACAGTGTGGGAAGGTTCCCCTTTCTCCGCATCCCCGCCAACATCTGTCGTTTCCTGACTTGTTAATTTTAGCCATTCTGACTGGTGTGAGGTGGTATCTCATTGAGGTTTTGATTTGGATTTCCCTGATGCCAAGCGATATTGAGCTCTTTTTCATGTGTCTGTTGGCCAAAAGCACTTTCTAAATATGTGTTTTCTTCGCAGCATCAAACAGCCTGTATACTACAGGCAGCCCCTCTCCGCTGGTATGTACTGACTTAGCAGTTCCACAAAGAAAGGAGGGTCAAGCTTTTAGAAAGGAATTCCTGAGGTCCGGGAATGGGGATGTCAGCCACTGGTTCAAGGTGCTGTTCTCGCCAAGCCACTTGCCAAGCAGAGTTGTCGTTCAACCCCAGCTGAGGGCCTGCTCTGAGAATGTCGTGGTTATGTTGTTTCCTCAGTTAAGATCTCAGCCATTGAAGGGACCCAGGTCCAAGGACTCAGACAGAGGTCGGCCCAGACTACAGCAGAGCTGGACGGGGTTGCGAGGGGAAAGGGAGAGATGGGTCTCACACCAGCCTTGACCTGCTCCTTCAGTATAGAGCAGAGATGGGAGTTAGAATTATATTAAACTTGAAGGAAACTGAACCTTTGTGTCCCCGCAGGAATGATTCCTGTTTTTCTTATACCCTACTTTCTGGTGTTCACTAAATTCTGGATCTTGTCTGTGCTTGCCTTAGCCTGGCTCGCCTATGATTGGAATACCCACAATCAAGGTAAGAGACAGAGGAAGAGTGGTTGGTGGTCCCTGTCTGTGCCAAGGATGGAACCACAGGGAGAGAGAAATTGAGGGAGAGAGTGGGAGAAGCAGAGAGAGAAGGGGTGGGAAGAGGAAAGAAGGGGAAAAGGAAAGGAAAAGAAGTTGGAAGGGAAAGGGAAAGAAGCAAATAGGGTTAGAGGGAAGGAGAAGGAGAGAGGAGAGCATAGCTCAGCCAGGAGCAGAGATCTCTCCCAGGTTTCCCAGGAAGGATTAAGAGGTTTGGGGGCAGGTGCTCCCAACCTTGGGATGTTTTCCTATCACTTTCCTGGCTGGCTACAGGGGATCAGGGTCCTCCTATATCTTCTTGGGGGTTGGATTCAGAGGCAGTACCTACAGCTCTGTGCTCTAGAAATATGGAAGTGTGAAAAGGGGACCTCTTCTGTGGACCTGAGGAATGTAAGAAGAACCCTCCACCTCTGGGAGAGGTTTGAGGGATTGGCAGTGTCTTACCTGCTCTTTCCTTCCCTCCTGTACCCACAGGTGGTAGGCGTTCAGCTTGGGTACGAAATTGGACCCTCTGGAAGTATTTTCAAAATTATTTCCCAATAAAGGTAACTACCTTTCCTTTTGGTGCCCTTGGTTCTTGTGGCCCAGACTCTCTCTCCCCTCTCAGCTCCATGTATTCAAAGGCTTTAGTGACCAACAGTGAAAGTCAAGGCCCAAAAGCATAATGCAGAGTAGGCATCCAAGATGGATGGGCAGGTGGGGAGATGGATGGATAGAAGCCTTTCTTCACAGTGGCAAACCCAGGTCAGCCTCTCTGAGCATCATAACCCCTGGCAATCCTACGACAATGATGACATCCCAAGGAACAGGGATTTGTTCTTCGTATCTACTGCTCTGACTTAATCTCCCTTTAACAGCTGGTGAAGACTCATGACCTCTCTCCCAAACACAACTATATCATTGCCAGTCACCCCCATGGCATTGTCTCTTATGGTGTGTTCATCAACTTTGCTACTGAGGCCACTAGCTTTGCTCGGATTTTCCCAGCCATCACTCCTTCCGTAGGGACCTTGGAATGGATCTTCTGGCTCCCAATTGTGCGAGACTATGTGATGTCAATGGGTGAGTATAAGAAATCATTCCATTCTTTGACCTACCTCAGAGCTCCAACCCGAATAAGCCCTGACAGTCCACATCTCACATCCTGCTGGGAGAAGACTTAGTAGAAAATTAGTCCAGAACACATTGGGCCAGTAACAAGAGTATGCGGCCACGCATCAGGTTCTGTCTAAGATCTGGGAGGTAGGAGTTTAGTTAGTCAGTAGGAAAAGTTACAGGCATTTATAAGAGTTGCCAGGAATCTTTTCAGAAGAAGGAGCAGAAAGCTGGAGTTCAGGATCAAAGCCAAAGTGGAAAGGCAGAAGTTTGGCGGTGGCTAGTGGCTAGTCCTGATCACCCCCGAGATATTGAACTCTGGACAGTTTCCAGAGCTGTAAGACTGGGGAGAGTAGATACTATTGATCTAAGAGACAGCAAGCAGAGGAACTCAATGTAGGCCCAACTACAGTATCACAGACCGCCCCCCCGCCCCCCGCAAGGCAAGCAGTTGACCCTAGGGACCAACCTCATGCTAGGGCTGACCCAGGATGTGGAGGTCAAAGACAGAAGAGTGGAAACAATGATAGTTAGGAAACAGAACTGTCTCCAGCATGAAGAGCACAGAGAAACCCCTTTCCCCAATCTCAGGCACCAAGTTTGTTATGCCACTTGACTTTTTGGTTTCACAGGTGTGTGCCCAGTGAGTGGCTTGGCCTTGAAGTATTTGCTGACCCAGAAAAGCACAGGAAATGCTGTGGTTATTGTGGTGGGTGGAGCTGCTGAAGCCCTCTTGTGCCGACCAGGAGCCTCTACCATCTACCTTAAAGAACGTAAAGGTTTCGTGAAGTTGGCACTGAAGACAGGGTGGGTCCTGGTGCCCTATTGTCAGGGTGCCATAGGTACTTTGTAGCACCTCTCCAGAATGGGTCCCTCTTTTGGAAGCCTGTTAGAGGGGGCTCCCTCTTCACTCTGATTGCTGTCCTCTGCTCCTTCACACTGTGTCTTAACTGCGTATAGGGCTCTAGATACATTTGTAGGCACTTCTTTTACTTGAAGTTGGAGAAAGAACAGTAGGAAAAGACCTTTACCTTCTGCCCATTAGCCTAGTTAGCTGGGGGTCTGGGGAAGTGGAGCTTTATTCTAATCAACCCACTAACTAAGAGGCCCAGAAGACCTACCCAGGGCAAGGAAGGCACTGGGCTTGGGGCTGTGCGGATTGCAAAAATAAAGAAGACATGGTTATTGCCCCCAAAGAGCATATAATCTGGTTTGAAAAATAGAATGCATTCATTCAGCAGTTACTGAACACCACTGTGTGTCAGGCATAGTACTAGGCATTAAGGATGTAAAAATAAATAAGACCTGGTCCTTGCCTTTAAGAAACTGACAGTCCCATGGGAACAACAGATATATGCACATGTAATTACAAAATATATCCAGAAGCCAACCACTTATCATCTCAACTATAACCCCCCATGGTTTAAACTAGCATCACCTCTCCCCTGGATTATTACAGTCTCCTAACTGCTCTGCTTCTTTCTCTGCCTCCCCCACATCCAAGAATCTATTCTCAACTGCAGCTAGGATGATTCCATTAAACGTGAGATTATGTCACTACTCCAAATGCTCCAACGGCTCCCATTTCACTCTGAGCAAAAGCCAAAGTCTTTACGAGGGCCTGCAAAACCCTAAATAATCTGGTCCTTAGCTACCTCTCATCACTCACTGCTCTCCCCCTTGCTCACTCTATTACAGCTACAGTAGACTTCTTGCTGTCCCTCAAACAAGCCATGTGCTCCTGCCTTAGGGTCTTTGCTCTAGCTGTCCCCTCTTCCTGGAATGTTATTCCTCCAAATAACTGCTTGGCTCATTCCTTTACTTCCTCCAGGTACTTGCTCAAATGTTTCTTCTCAGTAAGGTCTATCTTGATCATCTTGCTCTATTTTTTTCCTGTTGCATTTATCATCTTATATATCACTGATTTTATTTATTTATGTATCTGGTTTTTTGTTTATTTGTTATTATTGTTTACTATCTGTCTTCCCTCAAGAAAAACTGCGAGAGATTTTTTTAAAATCCATTTTGTTCACTGATGTGTCCCTAGGGCTTAAACCAGTGCTGACACATAGAAAGAGCTCAATAAATATTTGTTGAATGAATGATGTGCTATAATAGAGATATATACAAAGTCCTATGGGAACAACAACTGATGGAAAAACTTTCACTCTCCAAGTAGTTTCATAAGTGAGTGACATCTGAATTATGAGCAAAAATATTAGTAGGAGTTGCCAGTCAGACCAAAAGGGAGAAAGAACTCAGGGGACCTACAACATATCAAGCACTATGCGAGGACCTAGAGATCCAAAGATGAATGACAAATTTCCCACCTTCAATCAGCTTGACAGACAACTAGGGAGTCAGACAGGTAAGGAGATAACTGTAATAACTGGGTTAGAATAGTGTTAGTGTGGGGTACCTAATTCATATTGTGGGGGAGGGAATTGGAGGTAGTCAAAAAAAGTTTCTTCAAGAGATTGAAATTGGAGCTGAGCACTGAAGGGCAAAATAGAATTAGCCATGTGAAGACAGAAGGAAGGCATTTCTGGCAGAGGGAGCAGAATGTACGAAGAAGCATAGACAAGAAACAACTTGGCACACTCAGTATGGCTAAGCAGATTGCAAGAAACGGGTGGGGAGAGGGGAAGCTAGCACAAAAGCTAGAGCACAAAAGCCACGGTAAGCAACATGATACAAAGTGAGGATCTCTGGAAGAGTTTTAAAGAGAGGAATGACATGTCCAGATACGCAGTTTAGGAAGATCACTCTGGATGCTGGGTGCAATGAAAACAGTTAGATTGCCTAAGATTAGTTTCTTCCTATCAGAGGACAAGGTGCAGGAGCTCCCCCCAAAGGGTTCAGTTGGAAGGGTGGAGCCTGGCAAGAAAGCTGAAGATGTTTGGGTGCTTGGGTTCTTGTCCTATAATGGGAAGATTGGAAAAGTTTCATATCTTGGAGAGGATTTTGCTGGGCCTGGGAGAGCTAATACTTCTGCTCCTTTCTTTGCAGAGCATACCTTGTCCCTTCCTATTCCTTTGGAGAGAATGAGGTTCACAATCAAGAGACATTCCCTGAGGGCACATGGATAAGGTTCTTCCAAAAAACCTTCCAGGCCACATTCAAAAAAATCCTGGGACTAAATTTTTGTATCTTCCATGGCCGAGGCCTCACTCGAGAATCCTGGGGCTTCCTTCCTTTCAATCGGCCCATTACCACTGTTGGTAAGCTTTCCAATACCTCTGGACCACCCTCGTTGTTGATTCCCTGCCCCCAACCCAGGTCATCAGTCAAGTCCAGGAGGCTCAGCAAACAGCTGGGATGGGCAATGGGAATTCCAGAGGAATATGGCTGAGGGCAAGGTGGGCAGGACAACTAAACAGGTAAGAGTTGCGGCCATTTAATAGCTGCCATGAGAACATCTTTATTCGCAAGCATTCCTTCATAACTCTTGTGAGCTTGTTCTCATTCTCTTCAGCATGCATAAGATTAGGTATTTGGAGAATATGGGATGGGATGGAGCTAGAGCAGAGGGAAAGAACAAAGGAAGGGGAGGGGACACAGATACTGAGTTTCAGTATGTGGCTCCTTCTGAGGGATGGGTAATTTGAGTTGGGGAGGGGAGGTTCTCATACTTGTCTCTTCTCCTTCCCCATAGTCGGGGAGCCCCTGCCAATCCCCAAGATTAAGAGGCCAGACAAGATGACGGTGGACAAGTACCATGCACTCTACATTGATGCCTTGCGCAAGCTGTTTGACCAGCACAAAGTTCAGTATGGCCTTCCTGAGAGCCAGGAGCTGACAATCATATAACAGGAACTAGGTCTCCCCCATTACTAAACTCCTAGAGCATTGAGGGATCCAGGTAGAGCCAGGCAGAAGGGAGAATCTGGGGAGAGAGGAGGATCTCAGGCATGAGAGAGGCCAACCAAGCCAGAAAGTACTTAATGAATCTGGCTTGGCGGAAGGAACCAAGGGGCAGAGGAAGAGTAGGGAACAACCCACTTTAGAAAACAGAGTCTTGTGAATCCACAGACCTTGTGTGCCCCCTGACTCCAGCCGGCTCTCTGATCAAAGCAATGAGGAGCCAAAGAACACCACTGCTCCTTCCTCCCAAGGCTTAGTGACACCATCACGATGTAGCTTTAGGCTTAGAAGCCTTGTTGAGAACAGGAATGGTTTGTTTCCTCCTCCTCCTTACAATTTGGGAAATACAACAAGGTAAACCAGGGACCTGTAGTTCCTGATCCAAGCAGAAAGGATTCCCTCACTTGTGACCCAGTTCTACATGGGCAAAAACTTTTGCGTGCAGTTATGCTGTCTCTTCCATAAAAGTAAAGGTCTACTCCTGAAACCAAGATCACACTGTGAACTAACTAGAAATTAAGTTAAAATTTGAAAAAAAAAAAGAATAAAGTTCTCGATATGTAAAACAGGCTATGACTAGTTTCTAATTACTGTGGTTCACTACTGGGCTTCCCCCTCCAACCCGGCCAGGAAGCTGGTCTGTGGAGAGCCATTTTCCTTTTCTGCTTCCATCCTTTATACGTCCTCTGACAGAAAAGGTGAGGGAGAGGAACCAGAACTATGCTACACAGTGTAGGAGACAGGAGAAAAACTGAGAATTGGCATAGATATCCACTGAGTCACCCATCTCTCCTAACCCCACATAACCATCATGGGTCAGAAAGAAGGGAGCCACAAGACCATGCACAGACTGAGTCTACTTTATGTCAAGTACCTACTGTGTAACAGGGATTATGCCACCATTTTCACAATCTTTGTCTCTTAATGCCAGCCCCAACCCTGTGACATTGTTGTCATCTCCATTTCACAGTAGCTAAAACTCAAAGAAGTAACTTGCCCATAGTCACACAGCTTTGGATAGAAGCAGCATTCAACCCCAGGTCTTGCTAATTCTAATCCAAAGGTCTTCCTAATACATCAACCACCACACCTCCCATTCCTCATTTCCTAGAGACCTATTAATTGGCTTCATTTTCCTAAATAAGGACCCATGGTACCCCACTGAAGTTAGTGCATAAGTGTGGGCCAAGTGACATGGATTCTACTCAGAGTGGATCCAGGTTAGACCTCAGGGAAAATAATTTATTCATTAAAAAACCAATAAATTGGAACTGGGAATCCAGAAACAAACCCATACATGAATGGCCAATTGATTTTTGCCAAGGTGCCAAGGCAATTCAATAGGGGGAAAGAATAGTTTTTCCAATATATGAATAGTCTTTTCAATATATGATGCAGGGACAACTGGATAGTCACATGGAAAAGAATGAAGTTGGAACTCTACCTCAAACCATATACAAAATTTAACTTGAAATGGACCAAAGACCTAAAGTGAGAGCTACAACTATAAAACTATTAGAAGAATACAGAAGAGTAAAGTTTGCTGGTCTTGGATTTGGCAATGGATACTTAGATAAGACACCAAAAGCACAAACAACAAATGAAGAAATAGATAAGTTGGACTTCATTAAAATTAAACACTTCTGTGCTTCAAAGAAAACTATCAAGAAAGTGAAAACCCACAGAATAGGAGAAATTTGCAAATCATGTGTCTAATAAGAGTCTAGCATGCAGAATATATAAAGAACTCTTACAACTCAATGACAAAAAGGCAGCACAATTAAAAGTGAGCAAAGGGGGGTGCTTGGATGACTCGGTCACCCAACGTTGGTTAAGTGTGCAACTCTAGGTTTCTGCTCAGGTTGTGCTCTCATGGGTCAGGAGATCAAGCTCCAGGCGGGCTCCGTGCTTGTGCTCAGCGGGGAGTCTGCTTGGAGATTCTCTCCCTCTGCCCCTCCCCCCAACACACAGGCAGATGCACGCTCTCTCTCCCTAGCGTCTCTCTCTCTAAAAATAAATAAATCTTTTTAAAAATGAGCAAAGAATTTGAATAGCCATCCCTCCAAATAAGATATGCAAATGAAAAAGTGCTCAAATTATTAATCATTAGGGAAATGCAAATCAAAACCACAATGAGATACCATTTCACACTCACTAGGATGACTGTAATAAAAAAGACAGACAATAACAAGTATTATTGAGGGATATGGAGAAATTAGAACCCTCAGGCATTCCTGTTAGGAATGTAAAATGGTGCAGCCCCTTTGGAATATAACTTGGCAGTTCCTCAAAAGGTTAAACATGGAATTATCATATGACCCAGCAGTCCCACTCTTACATATATACCTCCCAAAATTGAAAATACATCACCACACAAAAATTTGTACGTGGATGATCATAGCACAATTATTTATAATAACAAAAAAAATGAAAACAACCCAAAAGCCCATCAATTGATGGATGGGTAAACAAAATGTGGTATACCTATGTGATGGAATATTATGCAACCATAGAAGGAATGAAATACTGATACATACCGCAACATGGATGCCAGAAACACAGGTTGTTTATTACATAATTCCATTTCTATGAAATGTCCAGAATATGCAAATATAAAGAGACAGAAAGACATAAAGTAGATTAGTGGTTATCAGGGACTGGGGGAGAATGGAAATTGGAGTGACTGCTAATGGGTATGGAGTTTCTTTTGGGGATGATGAAAATTTTGTGCAATTAGATAATGATGATGGTTGTGCAACCTTGTGAGTAACTAAAACCCACCATATTGTACACTTTAAACTGGCAAATTTTATTTTTAAAAATTTTTTTAAAGATTTTATTTATTTATATTGACAGAGAGAGAGCACAAGCAGGGGGAATGCCACAGAGGGAGAGGGAGAAGCAGGCTCTCCGCTGAGCAGGGAGCCTAATGTAGGGCTCGATCCCAGGATCATGACCTGAGCCGAAGGCAGATGCTTAACTGACTGAGCCACCCAGGTGCCCCATGATTGGCAAATTTTATAGTATATAACTATACCTGGAAAAAGTAATGTTTAAGAAAAATCAGCCTTTTAATTTAAGGAAAAATGTGTGGGTTGTATTAAAAGTTGTATTAAAGTTTAAAAATACACAATAAATTTTTTAAAATACTTTTTATTTTGAAATGATTGTAGATTCACAGGAAGTTGGACCCATTGGACCCTTTACCCAGCTTCCCACGATGGTGACTCTTACATAATTGAGTACAATATCAAAACAGGAAATTGACACTGGTACAATACTGTTAATTAGACCATAGGCTTACTCAGTTTTCACCATTTTTATGCACACTCATTTGTGTGTGTGTGTATGTGTGTGTATACATACAATTTGATCTCATATATACAGATTTGTATGACCCCTATTACCCTTATGACATAGAACTCTTTCATCACCATAGAGTAACTACCTACAACCCCACCTGTATAATCACACACCTCTGCCTTCATCCCTGTGCCCTGGCAATCACTGATCTATTTTCCATCTCTATAGCTTTATCATTTCAAGGATATTATATAAATGGAATCATACAGTATGTAATCTTTTGAGACTGGTTTTTTCCATTAAGTGCAATGCCCTTAAGATCCATCCAAGTCGTCAGGTATCAATAGTTCATTCCTTTTTGTTGCAGAGCAGGAGTCCGTGGTCTGGATGCACCAGAGTTAGTTTAACCATTTACCCATTGAAGGACATCTGTATTGTTTCCAGTTTTGGACTATTACAAGTAAAGCTGCTGTTAACATCCATGTACAAGTTTTTGTAGAAATGGAAGTTTTGATTTCTCTGGGATAAATGCCTAGGAGTACAATTGCCGGGATATATGGTAATTGCACATTTAGTTTTATAGGAAACTCACATTATGTTCTAGAGTGGCTGTACCACTTTATATTACCATCAGCAATATATGAGGGATTAATTTTCTCTGCATCTTAGCCAGTATTTAGTATCATCACTGTTTTTCTTTTTTAATTTTAGCCATTCTGATAAATGTGTAGTGATATTTCATTGTAATTTTAATTTGCATTTTTGTTTTAGATCAGTCTCTCAGCTAGAAATGCCTGGAGGCACTCACCTGGGCCCAGACTACTTGGGGCAAGCCCACAAAGACATTTCCTCACTGGAGTCAATGCTATGGCTGGCTCGGTTTTTGTGGTTTTTATTACGATTTCAAGACACACCTCAGCAACAACCATCAGGGAACTTTGAAAAAACAGGGCTTATTACTCAGGTTCTGGAGAGTACAGAGCATACCAGGTGCCACACAGTGAGGTCATGGGTAAAAATAGAGAGAAAGAGCATGCAGAGCTGGGTTCTGCCTTTACTGGGGTCAAAGGTAGGGTGCCTAGGGCTTCATAGCTTCATTCTTAATTGGTGAATTTAAGACATAAGAGTGGGAATTAAAGCTTGGGAAGGGAAAAGTAGGGTCACCAGTCAGTTATCTAGGTCACCAGGGCTTTCTAAAAGGGAACCTCATGGTTGGTGTCGCCTGGCTCTTTATCTCATTGTGTGGCTGGTAATGTGTTTATCTGAGATGAATGTCTTTGATATGGATGTTTTGGCAATCAAAAGCTTAATGCCAGGCATTTATGTTGCAATCCAAAAGCTAATTGTCAGGCACTTACACTGCAATTGTCCTAATGGCTAATGATGTTAAACTTATTTTCATGTGCTTATTTGCTGTCCATATATACTCTTTTTAAAAAAGATTTTAATTTATTTATTTGATAGAGACACAGCGAGAGAGGGAACACGAGCAGGGGCAAAGGGAGAGGGAGAAGCAGGCCTCCCACCGAGCAGGGAGCCCAACACGGGGCTCATCCCAGGACCCTGGGATCATGACCTGAGCCGAAGGCAGACGCTTAACGACTGAGCCACCCCCATATATCCTCTTTACTGAAATCTCTCTTCATGTCTTTTGCCCATTTTAGATCTTTACTGTTGAAAATTCTTTATATATTCTAGATACTAGTCCTTTGTTGGATGTATGGTTTGCAGATGCTTTCTCCCAGTCCGTAGCTTAGCTTTTTATCCTCTTATTTAACAGGTCTTTTACAGAGAAAATATTTTTAGTTTTGGTGAAGTTGAATTTACCAAATTTTTCTTTTATGAATTCTATCAGTTTAGTATTGCAACTGTAACACATTACATTACAGTGGCTTTTTCACTTTCTGTAATATATGAGAAAAGAAATGCCAAATCAATTTTAAAAAACAAGAGCCATAACTTAAAACTAAAATATGGTATTTTGACTTTTGACTCCATAACACAAAATAAGCTGAGCAACAATTTTGACAAAAATATTGTCTCTCAATAACACATAAAAATAGGCAGAGTGAGATATCAAAGGAAAATATTTTTCCTGAGCAGAGTGTACTTCC